ACAATATGGTAAGGGCCGTAACATTTCCGCCACATGCTTGAGGTATTCGGCCAATCACAACTCACTGGATAGCTGGCCAATCACAGCACACCTTGCTTTTTCAGACCGATGAGCTTTGTAAAAATCGACGCGTTTCAGAAAGGCGGGGCATAGAGGAGAAACAATAATGTACAGTATGTGGAAAATAATGTGTTTTTTTTAACCTTAAACCGCATAAACACATTTGATTACACCAAATACACAAAATAATGTTCTTTTTAGCAGCATCATATGACCCCTTTAAATAAAAAAGGAAAAACTAAATAAAAGCGATCCATCTGTCATAGTGTTATTGTGGCCGCGGTGTGTCACGTGACAAGCCTGACTCGTCGCCATGGAAACAGTAAGGGGAAACGTTCTAAAATAACGGTCGCCTTTAAAAAAAACTCACTCTGGGGGGACTGATAGAATATTTTACACTCACCACTGAAAAGGTTAATCAATGTGATGTAATCCTCCCTGTGTGTGTGTGTGTAGAGGTGTTGGAGAATCAGGTGTGCAAGTATGGAGAAGGCTGCACGTTTGCATATTGTCAAGAAGAGATCGACGTGTGGACACAGGAGAGGCGGGGCTTACTGGTCAGAGAGCTGCTCTTCAATCCGCTCTCGACCAATGAGAGACGAGCACTCAGCGTCATCGAACTTCTGAACATACACACGGGCATGTTCATGTTCCTCTGTGAGGTAACAGTGCACATAATTTTAAAAGTCTTGAGCTTTATACTGATGGATTTATTTTATCACTTTTTCTAGATTTTCTTCTCAAAAAAAGTTAGCTCATTGTTAATATTGTTTCTTGCTTGTCATATTTTTCAACAGAATGTTTCCATTAAAATGCATGTGATTTTCATGTGATCTTATGAAACAGTTGCATAAAAATATAAACAGTAGCTTTCATGAGCATTGATTTGACTTAAGTCTTCCTCTTAGAGCCCTGCATTTCAGCCCAGGCCCGACGGGCCCCGACTTTTTTACGCCCCTTGGGCCGGGCTTCGGGCCAATTTTCACGTCATAGTTCAGACGCGGGCCGGGCCTCGGGCCTGTTTTAGGCTTCTCCTTATTTTTTATATTTTAGACATCCATCAATTAGTGATGAAAAAAATTGCCTCACTGGTGGAAACAACACGAGACCGTGCTACCGTGACTGTCAAGAGCAGCTCGACGGTGTTTAGTGTCCAGCAGCAGCAGTATGTATGGTGCGTGCCGTCAGCGCAGCTGAACAGTTCTGCGTTCAAATGCAAGCAATAGGCTTAAGCTTGCCGCAAAGCACCGGCAAAAGTAATTACCATAAATGTGACAGGGGGAAATAGTAAGGAGATATTTGAGTTATTTACTAATAAACTAGTGTTTTCTGAGTCGGTGTCGCAAGGATGAAGTTGTCGATCCTGACTCGC